CGCCCTGTGACCTTCCTCATTTTCATTATGCCTTGTTTAACTTTTCTCCTTGATAGAAATCTCCCTCTCCATTACAACACTCATCATCTGAACAACGTGTGCATTAATTACACATTTCAAATCTGTATTAATACACATTCAAACTTATATATACAGTATATACATGCCTAACAGAAATCCATACTGATATTTACAACAGCTACAAAAGCCAATTCCTATATACAATAATCGTTTGACAGTCAGCATTTATTTTTGTAAAAAAGAGCAAATCAAAATGCAAAGGACATCAAAATCTTGTAAAAAAAAATACACTAACATGGGACTTTCACTGCAAAAAACATACCAACACAAAAAATACAACAATTAAAGATAATTGTAAGACAAAGAGCTTAGTAAGACCTATTACTCACCCATGAGTTGTGGATCATCAGCTAGCATTAAGAAGATCAAGGTAAGATTCTCACACAACATGTAATTACATCAAGCAAAAATGGGTGCACAGGATAAATCTATGATGCATTAAAGGTTGGTTTTCAGTTTGTCTTCTACTCTTGTTTGCTATGCAACTCTAATGAAAGGCTATTCTCCACAAATATACAAAAAAAAAAAAACATTTTTCACTCACTCACTCACTCTCTCTTTCTCACTCACTCTCTCTCTCTCACACACACACACACACACACACACACACCACACACACACACACACACACACACACACACACACACACACACACACACACACTCACTCCTTCTCTCTCTCTCTCACACTCACACACACACACACACTCACACACACACACCACACACACACACACACACACACACACACACACCACACACACACACACACACACACACACACACACACACACACACCACAACACTCTCACACACACACACACACACACACACACACACACTCACACACACACACACACACTCTCACACACACACACACACACACTCACACACACACACACACACACACACACACACACACACACACACACACACTCTCACACACACACACACACACACACACACACCACACACACACAACACACACACACACACTCTCGCACACACACACACTCTCACACCACACACACACACACACACACACTCTCTCACACACACACACACACACACACACTCACACACACACACACACACACACACACACACACACTCACACCACACACACACACACACACACACACACACACACCACACTCACACACACACACAACACACACACACACACACACACACACACACACACACACACACACTCACACCACACACACACACACACACACACACACACACACACACACACATTCATTCATTCTTTCTTACTGCACTTACAAAGACATGTCCACACACACAGACACACAAAAAAACACAGACACACACAGACACACACACACACACACACACACACACACACACACACACAGACACACACACACACCACACACACACACCACACACACACATGCATACACACAAACATGCAAGTACATACACATTCAGACACAAGTTCACAATCTCTCCCTCACTCACTCTCAACACACACACAGACACAGACACACAGACACACAGACACAGACACACAGACACACAACACACACACACACACACACTACACACAAACGTGCAAGCACATACACATTCAGATACAAGTCAATCTCTCTCCCTCACTTAATCTCAACACACACACACTTATCATATACACTCTCCTATTCTACCTATTTACATAAAGTACTGTGTATATACGCAAGCAAACAATTATTGTCTAACAGAACAGTACTAACCATATCGGTCTTGTGGGAGACCATGCAGTCCAGGTGATGGAGTGTTGCGGTAAGGATCTTGCCCATTTGGTGGCAGAAGCGCACCATCTAATTCTGCATAACCACTTTGAGGGTACCCACCAACTGTTGACAAATTATAATTAAATGTTTAGGATCAACATCAAATCATATGAGCGGAAATTAACAATGTTACCTTTTTATTGTAGGTAACTGACATTCCTTAGTTCTGTAAAAGTTCTGTTCTATTAAAGTACATTTCATAGTTGAATATTATCTTAGTCTATAACAGTACTGAAATTTGATAACCATAATTACAATCAAAAGTTCTATTACTTGCTAGTAAATACATACAGTATTACATATATTTTAAAGTTCATATATCACAAACAACACATTTCAAATAGAAATAGAAATGGTGAGTGACCATGGATTAATGATTTTGGGTATCAATATGTTAGTTTTAGGGGCACCAATGAAAATGTAAACAACAAACCAATACTCATTGAAGGATATATGAATTGGCTAAACAGGTTACAAAACACAATATAATGTACATTATTCACAAGGTACTAATACTTTTAGAACCAACTGACAAACAAATTTAAAACACCTTAATTGAAATTGAACTTCTATAATTTTCCAACAATTTATCTCATTACACTACATAAACACTAGACACACATACAGTAATCATTACCTGTAATATGAGGAAAATCATGACAAGCATATTAGTTTAAATAACTGTTAACACTAACATGCATTCTAGTATAATTATGAGAATAATTAGTGTCAATAATGTGAACTGAGTCTCTCCTGCTCTCCTATTTCTGACCATCAAACCAGGCTTGGGTCAATTGAACCCCAGTTAATGATGGAAAGGGGGAAATGGATAAAACTATATTTTCAGTAGTCATTGTTCCCAACAAGGGAGCTTTGGTATTCATCATGTTAAAATAATGAAAGCCATTCTGCAGGCAGTTAAGAAACCTTTCTTAACAATCCAACTTACTGTTACTTTCTCTCAGTGAAATAAGAGAATCCCAGTGTTCAGGTGGCAGCAGAAATGTTACCGTCTTCTTCACAGGCTTATTCTGTTGTAGTGACCCCTCACTTTCCAGAGTCTGCAGAACTACATCAGGACATGACTCAACAGATATATCTTTATCAAGTTTCTGCCTTCTTTGGGGTGAAGCAGCTCTTCCAGGTAATGGTGACCAGTGTATTGGATAAGGAAAATGATCATATTCACCAACTGGGCCACCTACTCTCTGGTTTGGGTAACTTCTCCCTAGCCCAGTATAAAGAGCTGTACAGTCACTGTCAACCAATGATGGATAGAGAAGATCCAGTTTTTCATCTTTAACATCTGGTGATTGGAATGTTGGTTTGACAAAATTCACCTGATTATATGAAGGCAGCACAACTGGTGGAATATCAGTAAAGTCTGTTGGATACATTGAACTTGGTACGATACAGGTGTCTGGAGGAGTTACTCCAACAGGAATTTTGTCATCTCTAACCAGCTCTGGGGAATTACACTTTATTGGTTCTTCAGTTACCATATTACTCATAACTTGTGGGGAGTTCTTGTAAAAATAACTTGGATGCAAATATTCTGAGTTACACATTTCCTCCACAGTTCTTGTGTGGTGGAGAGGAAGTAAAGACACCGAGTTACTATGATCTGGTAATACACATTTTTTGGTAGGTTCCTTGGGCACATAGCTAGGTAGTTCTATGTAACCTTTTTCTAAATCAATATCCGCTATCTGCTCAGCTTCTTCATTATCTTTCTTTACAGTGATGGTATCAGTATTACTCTGGTTATTACTGCTTCCTTCCTTAGCTTCCTCCTCTTCCTTTTTTTCTGCTTTCAGACCATGGATGTCTGTGTTTGATTTTTGGTACTGAAGTTCTGAACTTTGTTTTTCATTTGATTCCTTAGACAAGTCTTCTACATTACCTTGAATCATCTCTTTACTCTGAGAGTTTTCTTCATCCTTTGTGGTGGTTTCCAGAGTTGAAGTAGTGTCCTGTGATGCTTTTTCTGATTCTTCATGAGGTGTTTTAGTAAGCTCTTTCAAACGTCTTCTTGATGGAAGTGTGGCACTTGCAACACTTGCCAACTCTAAGAAATCCTTAGGATCAGTGTTTGTGCTGACACTGACACAAGAGGCACTTAGAGATCGAGTAATTTTCCTCCCTTTCCCCAAACTCCTTGGTTTTGGCTTGGTTTTAGGCTTATGTGTTTTACCATTCCCATTTCCTTCCTTAACAGAGCCTCCCGATGTCTTGTTCTGCAACCCAGAAGGGGTTTCAGCACCCTTATATTCACTAAGTTCCCCTCTTTTTGCTCCAGACCATAGTGGGGAGTCTAGACTATGACTTGTATCAAGCATGGGTGTGCCCACTTTACTACTAGGAGCCTCATTATGCTCTATATTACACTTTGAAGGCACTTTACCTGAACCACTACCTGGATGCTTAACCAATTTTTCCTTCTCAGATGACTGTCCCTTGAGCTTAATTCCCTGAGCTATGTGTTTACAATCTTCACTTGCAATATGTTCACCTGATGGACTAACTGACTGTACTGGTTTGTCTCCCTTCTGACACTCTTCCACTGCCTCTCTTTCAGCATGCACAGGAAGGGTCTTGGAAACATCTTGACATGGAGACAATTCAACTTCATCTTGAGACGTCTCACTGCTCTTTGATGGCCAGTTCAATCTCACAAAAACAGACGACTTTGGCATGATGGCAGCACCACAAGATCTCTGATATCCTCCATCTATGGTGCTTTTGCCTGTCTATCCTCCTCTTGTTCTTTCTTTATAATATTCAATCTGGCACTTTTGCAATTAATATTTTTTCTCTTTCTTTATCTTTCTGTAAAAGTAGCAGAATGAATCTTGTTTAGAACTTTAACAACTTTCAATCAATAAAACAATTTTTTCTTGTGTATATATTCCTTTCAAGCAAAAATTGCCTTTGCTTAAGATATCAATTGCCAGATGTCAAACTCAAGTGCCCAGTAAAACCCAAATATTCTGGAAACAATATATGGATATATGTATGTAATTCTGCATATATGTTTTGTGCGTGAATTGAGGATGTGTATACATTTTATTCATTATACTGCACTCTGTATATAAACATGTATGTATATAGCATAAGTGAGTTTATAATGTGTGTCTGACTTCTTTCTGAGATATCGCTTAAGTGCACATATCTTTCCGACAAATCACGTAAGTATGCACATCTTTCTGACAGATACCATAAGTGTGTGCATCTTTCCAACATGTTGTGTAAGTGTGCATATCTGCTGTGCAAACAAGCACATGAAGTATATATCAAAAGTCAAAAGCATTAAAATACTTATCTAACTTACTGACCATTAATTGGTTAGTATGAGGTTACGAAATGTTAGGAAAGTAGTAGAAGTTTATGCCATTTTGTCACTACACCTTCGGGAAAAAAAAAGAAAGGAAAAAAAAGGAAAAAGAAAAAGAAAAAAAAAAAAAAAAAAGAAAAAAAAAAAAAAAAAAAAAAAAAAAAAAAAAAAAAAAAAAAAAGTCTGGCCTGTACGTGTGTGTATGATTATAATGTTTGCCTGGGTGTGCATGTTTAAAATGTGTGCCTGCTCCTGTGCATGTGTATGTTTATAAAGTGAGTCTGTACATGTGTGTTTATAATGTGTGCCTGTGTACGTATTTATGACGATAATTATATGTGCCTAAGCATTTGTGAATTATCATAATGTGTGACTCTGCGTGTGTGTGTTCTTACAGTTTGCCTGTGCGAATGTGTATGTTTATAAGTATGATTATAATGTGTGCCTGTGCGTGTGTGTGTAATTATTTGTGCCTGTGCGTGTGTGTATGATTATTTGTGCCTGTGCATGTGTGTATGATTATTTGTGCCTGTGCGTGTGTATGCTTATAAAGTGCCTATGCCTGTCCATTTGTGTATTATTACAATGTGAGTCTGTGTGTGGGTGTGTTTATAAAGTGTGCCTGTGTGTACGTGTTTATAATGTGTGCTGGATGTGTATGTGTGCCTGTGTGTGTGTGTGTATGTTTGTGTGCCTGTGTGTTTGTGTTTATAAAGTGTGCCTGTATATGTGTGTCTATTTATACAGTGTGCCTGTATATGTGTGTCTATTTATACAGTGTGCCTGTATATGTGTGTCTATTTATACAGTGTGCCTGTGCGAGTGTGTATGTTTATAAAATGGCCTGTGCCTGTGTGTTTGTGTATGATTAAAATGTGTGCCTGTGCGTGTCTGTATGATTATGAGTGCCTGTGCATGTGCGTATGCTTATAAAGTGTGGCTGTGCTTGTGCATTTGTGTATGATTACAATGTGTGCCTGTGGGTGTGTGTATGTTTATAAAGTGTGCCTGTGTGTGCATGTTTATAATGTGTGCCTGCTCCTGTGCGTGTGTGTATGTATATAAAGTGAGCCTGTAAGTGTGTGTGTGTTTATAATGTGTCTGTGTATGTATTTATAGTGTGTGCCCGTGCATGTGTGTATAGAATGTGTGCCTATGTGTGAGTTTATGTTTGTCTGTGTATATTTATGTTTGTGTGTACAGTGATGTATCTGTGCATTTGCATGTATATATGTAGATGCATGTATATGTATACGTTTGCTTTAGTATTTTTGTATTTGCATGCACGTGTACGTGTGCAAGTGTAAGCGCGAATGTGCGTGCATATTTTTGCCATGCGTATTAATATTGCACATGTATGTGTATATGGATATGCCTGAGTGTACGCAAGTGCATCTCTGCTTCAGATTGTTTACGCCAAGGTCTATATAAGTTCTATAGACCTTAGTTTACGCCCCCATGCCACGAGCCCGTGTCCCAACTCGTGAACCCCTGCCATCTGCAGTGTCCGAGTCCGCGCCTTGGGCCCCAATCGTCATCGTCCTTGAAAGTTCTATTCGCGACCGTCCGTTCGTTTACTTTGGACTCTTCAAAGGCGGATTCCTTGCAGTCCATGCGTTTTCCATCCTATTAATAGCAAGATATTAAGATTCGAAAATAATAACGGTTTATATTCCCCCATAGCTTAGTATAACAGTATATCGCGCTTATTGCTCCTAGTATCAAACATTTACTTGTAATTAATCCCTACATTTACATGCATCTAGACAATGCAGGGACACAAATTAGGTTAAAGTTAATGTTTAAAACGCTTTGTTGTATAGACTACAAGCTTTTTTCAACAAGAGAATATAACAATAACAAAAATAATAAAGATGAAAAAACAATAACAATAATAAAAATAATAAAGATGAAAAAACAATAACAATAATAATAATTACTATGAATACTATTATCATTACTATTATTATTATCATTGATTATTAATATCTTTACTATTATCATTATCATCATTATTACTATCATTACTGTTATCAATATTACTATATTTATTATATTTTTATCATCATTATCACTATCACTATTATCAATGTCACTATTATTATATCAATCTACACTACACTATACTACTACTACTACTAATAATAATAATAATATAATAATATCCACAACATTGAACTTAAAAACAATAAAAAATCTAAAATAAACAATAATAATATAATTAAATAATACTGATTAACATGAACTAAAATAGCTGTCTAAATGATGGCAGTAGCTTAAAACGAGGATAGAAAGAGAAAAAGCAAGGGGTGCGAGGGGAGCCTCGAACCGCAGCGTGGGGTGGCACTCGATCGTGGCACTGCCTCGCTGGCACTACCTGCCTGTGCCACACCTCCCGTCCGGCCGCCAGAGTCACGGGATCGAAAACTGGTCCAGACTGCGTCATTTCACAACCACCCGAATGTGACTGCCAACTATTTTTTTTTCACCTCTAGTATATGTGAATGAGTGATAATGTCGTATCATTTGTACCTGCTCGTTTGGCTGTGGGTGTGAATGGGAGGCAAGTTGAGTGAGAAGGAGAGAGAGTGAGAATGTGTCCACGTACATGCGTTTTTGTATGTGTATGTGTATGTGTATGTGTGTATGTGTATGTGTGTGTATGTGTGGTGTGTGTGTGTGTGTGTGTGTGTGTGTGTGTGTGTGTGTGTGTGAGCGTGTGCGTGCGTGCGTGCGCGTGTGTGTGAGCGTGTGTGTGAGCGTGTGTGAGCGTGTGCGTGTGTGAGCGTGTGCGTGTGCGTGCGTGCGTGCGTTGCGTGCGTGCGTGTGCG